CTATTCTCTCGCACGACCCTGGAAAGAACCCTTTCTCTGTTACCTTTACACGAAGGCTGGGAAGAATTGAGATGATGAATGGCCTTTCCGCTTGGGACCGAAATCTTTGATTCATATCCTTGACATGGTTAGGCGGCTTGTGAGTGTGCTGGGGACCGTGGACCATTCCGTCATCTGTGGTTTTTGAGAATTTGTTATGCCTGACATGAGTTCTTGGTGGACTATGAAATAGCAAGGGCAGAGTGCGTCTATCAGCTTGGAGACTACCGGTATGCATTATTTCACCAGGATAGCAGCAGAATGAAAAATGAGCGGTGATGTCGCCAGACTCAGGAACGCCCACAGGGGACGAAGTCTTGTTTTCCACTACACAAAAGAACTCTTGGGCGATTGGGCAAAGCCCCGGATATCTCCTGGAGCGGTGGTGAGATATCTGGAAGTGTCTTGTTTGACAAGAGGATAAGAAAGTGGCCCTTTTACTTCTATAGCGGCATAGAAAGATACAATTCGATATCAACAAGGGGTGGGTCTTGTGACTATCTTATTATGTCTGTGGTGGGGGAAGGTATATTGAGGTTTCAAGTAGGGAGTATGGCGTGGATGTGTATGTGCTAGCACTGCCCGAAGGGGAGAGAAGAACGTATTTAGACGCGACTACCTGATGATTAGTGTTGTACTAGAGGTCTCTATCTCCGAAGACCATGGAAGGAGCTTGAGATCCTACGGAAGCAGGCATGCCGGTGGTGTCTTGGTGGTGAGGTAGAGTAGGGGCCAGTATCTCCAGCACCTCTAATAATGCCAACCGGCTTGGCACCATAGCTCAATGATATGTTCCAACACAGCAATTATCCCCACTGGTCTGAGATCAACCCCACAAGGTTGGGATGAGGCTGAGGTCCACAGAGCGGAGTTCCAGTATTTCGAGCAACCACGCAGAAGCATAGCACTATCCGAGATGGCTGGCTCATACCATGCAACATACGCCGCAAGCTATAACCCTCTTGCTGGTGACCATCAAGATTCATAGCTCAATGCTGGATTCTCGGCCCCCGAAGCCTCTGATCAACGAATCCGACCTAACCACACATCTTGACCTTAGCTGCCATATTCCCATGAACATACCCAACTCACCTCACAGTACACCTCCAACCATGCAGAGCTAACCCCAACAAACCCACTTGCAACCACTGACTCGTCCCTCCATACCCAGTGTCACAGAGTGACTCAGTAGACAGCAACACCCCAACCCAACTCCCTAAAGAATCGTACGATCCTTGTCCCCACCCACCGAATCACGACAGCTCTCTTTCGAGGCTCAATCCCACCTACTTCTCGCATCGTCCCATCCCTACTGTTCGAGCTGGAGTGGTGGGACCGGAAAACATCTCCCGTGACATCGGTGCCCTGCTCGGAGCAGCAACGATGACACTATCTGCAGATAACGGATCCCCCACAAGAACAAGAACAAGAAGGGATGGCCCGGTCGAGTCGACGGGGCGAGCTGCGTCATCGATGTGGGCGCACCATTGCGCACCTGATTGAGCCCAGACGATATCGGGTTCGTTCCTCATCGGGTTCGTTCCTCATCGGCCTGTCGGATGCAGGGGTGGTTCCGGGTTTGGGGAGGTGCGTCCTTGGTATCGGTACCTGCGAGCCAGTCTCCTTGCAGGGGAGATGAATTTCTCGGGATGAGGAAGGGGAAACATGAAGCTGTGGGTTTGGTAGCTGCTTCGGTGGCTGAGGTGTGCCGTTGGTCTGCTTCAGATTGGATGCGGTGGTGAGGACAGGTTCGTGTGCTGGTTTAGAGGGAATACCGAAGAAGTACTTCAAGCCATACACTATACTCCATCCACGATTGTGCGCATATATTCGAGGCGATGGTTTGCGACGAATTGTCTCAGAATCCTAGCCATGGAAACGATGGAGAATCAACTCTATGTTCACTGCCTTCAGCGAAACTACATCCAGGCGACGCAAGGGTACATGAACCTATCAGAAACAAAAAAAGATCAAGTCAGACCTCTCCGTGGTCAGTGATGAAGCGAGCTCCCTCCTGGAAATGATCAGGTGATCGATAGTAGCCAGGGGTGGTAAGATTCGGATTATATCAGAGCTGTATACGGACGTGCGGGTGGTCAGGAAAAGTCATGGTCGAGCACCCAAGGACTGAGCCCATGACTCAGGCCGACACTGAGAGTGCCATAAGCACTAACGAGCCTCAATCAATTGCGATCCCAACGGGAGATGTCTACTCAGCCTGACACTCAACTACGGATGGTAAACCCCCGGTGTCTTCTCCCGCAGAACAACCCGTAGGACAACAAAGATGCTTTAGGGTTCAAAATCCGACCGTTCTGAAAAAGGGGGGAGGGAGGGGGGAAGAGAAGGGGAGGACAACCACGACCCGTCACCCCCGCAAGCTTCACATGCATGGACTGCTGGGGTAGACCGTAGACGTAAACTATGGGCGGATCCTAACTTACAATGTATGACAAACACAGTCATAGTTGTGCCGGAGCTTTCCCCTCCCTCTCTCTCTCTCCCTTGTTGCTCGCGGCCATGGGTTTCACCGGCGGACTGCACCATACAGTCAAGTCCACTATTGAGCATCATCATCATATTCTCCTAGGAGGCTTGACCGGCATGGAAGCCACGCAAACAACCGAACGGATCGACTTTCTGACCAAGCAGAACAATTGTTGCAGCCTAACGTTCTGGGCATGGCAGGCCAAGACCCGAGACTCGGTTGGATCTCCTGGCGGACCAACAGGACTGGTTTGCCCAGCCTGTGATGAGCAGTGAAACTGTGCGACTCCCCTCTTTTCTTCTGAATCTTTCTTTTTTTTTTCCCTTTCGCCCTTCTGGTCTTTCTCGTCTTCATCGGAAAAATCGCTATCACGAGTGCCCAGGGTCCAAGACACGCACAAGCCCAGACGGCAGTGGACAGGTCATGTCATGACTCCTTTCTTCTTTCTGCCTCCCTAAGTCCGAGAAAGTTGCGATTGAAGCCGGAATCAATCGATGCGTCTCGGGCGGAGATATCGGAGAGAGTATCGATCGTAACCACTCAAGATTCGAGGTCAATCCATCTGTGTAAGAGAAGTGAGCACTATGTAGTCCGATTCTGTAGGAAGGAAGGTAGGTAGGTAAGTAAGCCAGATTGCGGTTAAGGAGATTGGAAGACGATCCCGACAACCGCTAGAACTAGACAATCCCTAATATAAGTACGTAGGACAAAACGCCGCGAGAGGAAATAAGAGTTGGTGAAGCGCCACCAGGCGTCGGCGTTACCTAATTTATTGACGGATCGACCAGCTGGACACGGCAATCCGGCTGCGAAAGTTGAACGATCCTAACTCGCCCACGACTTTGGCACTTGGGTTTTATCTTTCAATCTTTTATCTACTCCGTACTCGAGGTGTCTTTGCACCCGCCAATGCTCGGCGGGAGTTCAGATCAGTCAGACTCGGTCTCTCGGTCAGTCAGGGTTTGTTGGTCTGTTCCTTCCCACGGAACAGGCAGGGTCTAGGCAGGCTTGGGGATCCCCCCGGAACGTCATGCTGAAGTGGGATGATTCTTTTCCTGGAATTTTCTCCGCATGGACTGCGAATCTAATCTAAATAAATGAGGATTATTTTTATCCTGCATTAAATCAATCAATAAAATGTCATCTCAGCCTGCATCTCTCAGACCACACCCCTCCCTTTTTTTCCCCCCTGGTCTGGATTACGGCAGTTGGCCAGTTGGGGCTGGGTGTGCCGCTGCAGGCGGTCGGAAGGTAAAAAAGACCCCGGGCTCCGGCATTGACTTAGCGAGGGTGAGCGGTAACTAATACTACAAACTGGACCGGGGACTGTAAGTAGGTAGGGTAGCATTGGCCGATTGGCCCCATCCCATGGTGACGCTATGCTGGAAAGAGGTTAAGTGACTTGGCCATCATCCCGCCAAGGCCAACAATCCATCTCCGAATGCGGATCACGAACAAATGACTCTCGGCCTGACTGGCCACCGCATCCCCCCGCAGAGCCTTGGCGTCTTGGCAGTTCAAGTGAAACAGAGCCTGACAAAAGAGAGGGAAGGATGAAGGGGAATTATCTTCTGCCACTGCGGTTCCAAGTTGTCAGATAAAGATTCCACAATTAAAACTGTATGATGATTGCGAATATGAGACAAGAGTACGTACTCATATACATAGTTACCCGTAGTGATGGATGAAGGTAAATCATCAATCACCATGGCCCCAGTCTGGGCCAGCCCTGAATACTACTCTCGCTTCTTCCTGCTATTCTCTTCCTCTTCCTCCTCCTCCACCGCCTCCTGAGTCTTTTCCTCCCCCTCATCCCTCCCCCCTTAACTCTTACTCTTAACTCTTCCTATGATTCCTGTCATTATTCCAGTCCTATCTCCTCTCCGCGCTGTGTCCGCTTCCGGCTGAACTTCCCTCCTCCCCCCTCCGTTTGATCGCTGGAACCACTACCACCATCAACTTCCTCCCTCTACTCTCTTTCTATTCTTCCTCTCCCCCCCCTCCCAAACCTACCCTCCAACCACGCTATGCTGTTGGCCGTAACACGCTTTTGACGTTGCCCATGCCAAGGGCTCGGCAGCTGGGCGTCTTGGCAGCGAAAAAAAGAGTTGCTTTCAACCAGAACTCCCTCCCTTTCCGCTGTTCCTGTTCGTCCTGGGAAATTCGACATGATCATCTTTTCTTGTCTTTTCTTGGGAGGTTCCGCTCTGTAACCTCGTCGTTGTCCATGGCATTCGTATAAGTCGAAGCTCTCTCGTCTCCTCCTCTTTCCGCTCTCCTCCTCCCCCCTCCCCCTCTCTCTTCCTTCCCTTGTATTTACTTCCTTTATTCTGCCAGATATACAAAAGATCTCAGCTTCCCCCCCCCTGGTTCCTCTCCCTCTCACACACACAACACAGACACACTCAGTGCCTCCCTTCCACCCCCCCTACCCCTCTCTCCTCTCCTCCTCTCATTCCGCCTTGACCAGAACTGATAAGCCTCTTCAGTCTCTGTGGCTCATCTTATACCGGCTACCACCTACCACCTACCACCCATACCACCCAAACAAACAAAAATCCCTTTCACCCCCTTGCGCTGAAAGCCATGCGGTGAACTCATCCCTGCTGTTTTGTGTATGCCTTTGTACCACCTTGTGTTGCTGCCGCGGCATTTCTGAGGGGGTCTCCCCGACCTCGATTGCGCCCTTGTTTACTACCTACCAACCTCCTGTTTGATACTTACCTGTTCGCCCTTCCTTCCTCCCTTCCTTCCCTCTTCTCCACCCACGATGAGGCAGCCGGAGATGTCCCATTCTGCTGCCCACCACCAAGGTGACAACCCACTCATCACCGCTTACTTTCCCGACTCTATACCTGCCGCTCCTCCCGCTGCACATCTAACCTCGGACTCACCTCCATTATCGCCCACTCAGCGTCATCCCCACGGAGTGGACAGCTCCCCTCCGTCGGATCGGGACTCCGGTTACGATACCCTTCACCCTCAGCCGTCAGACTCCCATACGCAGCAGTATCACCATCCTTCCCGCCGGCGGAGTATCCCCAGCCCGCACCAAGGGTCCGTGGACACTGGATACCCTTCCAGTGCGGAGCCCATTATCGTGCCAGAGACCGTCGTCGCGGCGTCGCATCTGGAGAACGGCTCCCTGGTAACCCGAGCTTCGATGACGAGCGAGGCGGTGCGCAAAGAAGGGCGCGGTCGGGGCAGCTGGACTGACCATTCCTCGTATATGTCGGGCGACAACCACATGAATGGCGCGGCTCGAGTGCATAAACGAGCGATCGTGGAGGACATCACCCCTGAGGAGGAAGAGCCTGATGCGCTCCTCATGTTGGTACGTCTGCTTCCTTCCCGATGGTTCGTCGTATCGTGGCGCAAGCCGTGGCTGACCGCTTCCCTTTGTGCAGTTCCGACTCTCCATCCCTGTTCCTGTCTTCTCCTTTATCGCATCCCTGTATACCGTCTTCGGTCTTCTCTTCGTCCTCCTCGTTTCCCCGCTCCGCCTCTGTTCCTGCATTCGATACCTGCGAAATACGTCTTTCCGTGCCCAACTATGCGACCTTCTAGTACCGCAGTTACACATCCACGAGCGGTTGGTCTGCCTGCGACGGTCGTCGAGGCGATCGGCATCCACGCAACCGATCTATGATCCGGAGGGGTCGTTTTTGGACGAGCCGATAGAATCATACACGGTCGGCGGGCTGATCTCGGTCCTGCTGCTGTCGCCCTTCTTTTCGATCGCGATTCTCCTGCCCGCCTGGATCGCCGCATTCTTTTGGATCTTCTCCATGGTGATGGGCAACCCCGACGGCACGGAGCGTAAAGACGATGGTCGCGCCGCGGTCCTCGGAGTCAGCAGATGGTGGCACTTATGGCTGGGGAAAGCCCGGAAGTCGCCGTCCTAGGGCACCGCGCGGTCACGCCACGTGTAGAATGCCTGTTCTTTTTATTTTTATTTTCTGATTCTGTTCTATCAAGCGTCATCTCGTCTGGGCTGTTTCTTTGATGCATGCATGATACCAACGTTTGGGATATGTGGAATGATTTTTCTTTTTGGTGAGTGGGCGCTATCTGGATTATAGGATTAGTTTTATCTTCGACAACCATACATTTTACCTTGCCAGTCGATTGTTGCTGGTTAAGATGATTCACTTGTGGTGTTCGATGTCTGGAGAGAAGTGTCTCTTTTGCCGTAGAAGTAGAAGAGCTTTAAAGTGGATGTGGTTGCAAATTTGCGGGGGGTGGTGGCTTCCTTACCGTCTTCTAGAATGAATTGCTTTTGTTTGTCTGAACCTTAACCAGAAGGAGGACCTAGTACCCGTGACTCTTCGAGTCGTCTTCCCCGCGCAACCACCCAATCATACCTTGTCACATACTTCATTTATGTTGCGGACGATCACAATCTCAATTCTGATGTTGAAATAAAAAGTACTCGTAGATGAAAGGTACTGTAGGAGATAAGATAATCGGGATCGATCCCCAAACTATAGTGAAACGCGATAAAACTCAGGGGTGTGTGTGGAAACGGCCAGGGCGATGGATGGGTGGATGATCCCCCAGACGTGGGGCACCCGCCCGCCCTAACCCACCCTCACCCTCACTCTCACCACCACCACAACCCCTAACTTATAGGTACTGTAAACTATCCACCCCCCCCCCCGGCCGGTGCCTTATTTATTGAACGAATAGGACCAAGACACTTCACAAGCAGCCACAGGTAGAAAACAAGACTGGGACTGTCTGCCTGTACTGTATCTTATCATGTCTATTCTTTTTTCGTAGCCAGTAACCAGCAGCCAGTAGCCAAGAACACCACAGAGTGTGAACCAGGCTGGTACCCTTCCTGATCCCAGTCAAGCGTGCACCCACCCTAGCTCACCTAGAGATCATGCTCGCTCCTCCGAGAATAGTGCTCCCTAAAGCGGCAGGGGCCGTGTATTGTGGTAGGTGTGGTCGCAACAGCTAGAAGTCACTCCGGGAAGTTCTAGTTTCGGGTTGATCTCGACCTTATTTCAGATCCTGTGGTGGGGGTGGGGGGGCAGTGACTTACTTGGAGGAAAATGGCGCTGCATTTTAATAGGGGTGGAGGTATGGTAATTGAGCATCAGGTAGGTTGGTGGCTAGTTTCGCTTGAGATGGGTATGTGAGAATCGGAAGATGGAGATAAAGGCTTAGGGCCTGTATCCCTCGGGGTGAAGCATTAACTGTCTATATGTGTAACTCTCTCTCTCTCTCTCTCTCTCTGTGTGTGTGTGTGTGTGTGTGTGTGTGTTGCGGGTTAGCCGATAATCAAGTACGATGATAGGCTTCTGTCACGATGCCTGGATGATTCTTCCAGGAGATGAGACTGCTATCACGCCAGTTGACATGAGGGTGGACCGGACGACTCATACACAGTTAGCCACAGGTCTTGCGCATATTGCTCTTCAGTCTCCAGTGGTGCAGACACCCACTCATCACTTTAAGGAGTTACAGTCCTTTTTCGATGTCCTAATAGTGAAAGTGAAAGAAGTTCAGAGGGCTATCAGTGAAGCAGGATCAATCAAATTGAGCATCTGATATCCAGACTAAAGATTATAGACAGACAACAGACTAGACACATAGACAGTAAGACAAGACAGAACAAGACAAAGCAAGACGAGGGTATAAAGATACCAACATTTCAGAAGAGATCGACAAGAACGAGAACCAGAAACAGACCAGAGTCAAACATTCTATGTCGTTCGGACAAAACAGAAAGGAAAATTTTCATTATGCTTGAGAATCTCCCCAGAGAAGACTGCAGCAGCACAACTTGATCTCTCGTGGGAAACTCAATAGACGGAACGTGCTTTTGTTGGAAAAATTTCGAAGAATGCAAACAAACAAACTGTACTTGTTGTGTGGTTGTAAATGCGTATCAAGATATCGGCGAGAATCATTTCACAGAGAAAATAAAAAATAACGTCCTAATTCATGTCGGACCGTTCCCTTACCCCTATCCCTCGGCTCCGAACCTTGCCTTTTTTCCACCCCTCCTCGCTGTCACATATTGACCAGCCTGGATTACCTCCTCCAACTGACTTATCTTCTGTTTCCACGGAACCCTCCACTACCACGGAATCCGCCTCCGCGGCCACCACGGCCACCACCGCGACCACCACCACCACCGCCGCCGCGGCCGTTGGGTCGACCGCCGCGACCATCCCGACGCTTCTCAATGCGACCACCACCGCTGGGGCCGTGGGACTTGGGCACGCCCAGACCACGACGCCCGGGGCCGGGCCGCGAGCTGGTCGCGGCCGCGACGGCGGCGGTGTCATCCTCATCCAGATCCATGTCGTCGCCACCACCACCCTTCTTCTTCTGCGACTGCGCCATCCTGAGCTTACCGCGCTGACCGCGGCGGACGGCGTCAGGACCACTGACGGCCTGGACGTAGGCGTTGATGCCGCTCTCCCCGCCGTTGTTATCGTCCAAGGCGGTGGAAACGTCCCCTTTGTCGTCGTCGTCACCCAGAAGGAGACGGCCGTCGGGGCCGAACTTGGCGTTCCGCTTCTTCCGGGATCCAGGGCCCGTGTTGAGGAAGCGCACACTGGGTTTCGTGGTCGAGATGCTGGCCAGGGCGTCGGGCGCGAGCAGGTCGAGCGGGTTGTCCTCGGGGGAGAGCTCGCGGATGTACTGCTCGCTCTGCTTGGATCTCCGGCCGTTGTTGCTGTTGCTGTTCTGGTTGCCGCGACCGCGACCGCGGGCGTGCGTGCCACCTTGCTCATCGACGTCGATCTCGCTAGCGTCGTCGTCCGAGTCGGAGAAATCGGAGTCGTACACAGCCTTGTCGAACGCGTTGCTGTAGGTGCGGCCACCCTTGGCGTTGTTGTCGGCCCCACCGGCGGCACCAGCGTTCTCCTCGTCCTCGTCCTCGTCGCCTTGCTCGCCCTCCTTTCTCTTCTTCTTGCGGCGCTCGCGCTGCTTCCGGATGTTGACCACCAACTTGCGGTCGGCTTCGCCGACCAGCTCCTCAATCGGGGCGGCGCCGAAGCGGCGGATCAGGCGGTCGAGAATACCCTTGACCTTGCTGCGGAGACGACCCTTGTGCTCCTTACTCCAGACCATCAGGTTGGGGACCAGGCTGCTCAGGCGCGCACGGAGATCCTCATCGGACAGAACCACAACCGCGACCTTGACAAAGCCCAGGACGGATCGGACGATCTCACGGTTGTTGCTGGTAAGGAAGAGCTCCACGGTCTGCACAAGATCGGTGCTCATGGCACCAGAGAGCTGAGTGTGGAAGTCGAAGAACAGGCGCGACAGAGCCGTGACGGACGCGGCAACCATGTGAGGTGAGCTACCGGCCAGACCAGCAGAAACCATGGTGAAGAACTCCTCAATGGTGGCGGGGGCATCGGGGGCGTTGTCGGGCATGTGAGGCACAAGGGAGTTACGGATGACGGTGCCAGCCGGGTTGCGTTCCGAGTCAGTCGCTCTCTGCGCAAGGTGGATGAGCAGGTCGAAGGACGCAGTTCTGGTCTTCTCGTTGCTCTCTTTGCAACCCAGGACGACCTCAGAGAGAACGGCGGGGATGAAGTGCAAGTCAGAAGTGGGCAGGTAAGTGATAAGCTCGTGAACAGCCAGCATGCGGTCGCGGCGGGCAGACGACGGTGTCTTGTCGGCGGTAGACAGGATCAGGGTCTGAAGTTCACCACTCCGTTCTTGGAGCGCGGCTTTGCCAGCATCCGTCGTAGCAAGACGGGGAATGAGCTTGTAGGCCTTCTTGATCAATTGCTGATCACCAGTCTGTCCGTTGAGAATGGCCGCAGCCATGGCAAACAAGCTGGCAAAGCTAGAACGCGGCAGATAGATGGACATAGCAATCACGAGATCGATCAGAGTGTGGGAGGTAGGGGGCATCTTGTTGCCAGAGCTGGGCTGCTGGGTGCCCTGCTTGGCTTCTTCCTGCTCGGAAACCACAGAGGATTCGAGCATAGACGCAACACGCGCAAAGGTTTCATTGAGCTCCTGCAAGATTGTCAGTTGATAGGTCATAGGTGTTCGAGACACGTTCGCTTTACCTTCTCGGGGGTAATGCTCAGATAAGCATTGATACACTGAAGAATGAAGCCTCTGTAGTGGGGAAGAGTCTGGCTGTAGACGTTGAACAGAACCGCCAACAAGTTGCTGGCGAAGCCGGCCAGATGGGCAATGTTCTTGGCAGCCATTTCCTTGGTGATTCTGCGCTGAAGGATCAGGTCATCGCCCTCCTCTTCAAGGGACAATATGGCCTGGTTGGACTCAACCAAGTTCTGCAGACCACGACAGATGTCAACACGCAGCTCCGTCTGCTTGTAGAGAACGTTGGAGAGAAGCTCAGCAAAGCTCTGGTCGAACGACTCGATCAAGTCCAGAGGAAGCTCGCAGTAACCGGGCAGGATAGCCCAGGTCTGCTGAACGAGGGCCTCGAAGATCTTCATCTCCACATCCTTCTCGGCGGAGCTGTAGGCCATGACCTTCTGGTACAGAGCTTCACTCAGGGGAACGAACTCAGAGCGGAAGTGAGAAAGGTTGGTGTTGGTGACGTTATCACGAAGAACAGGGAGGAACCAGACACGACCGGGCTGGCCGGGCTTCTGGGTGATGATGTTCAGAGGCAGAATCTCCAAGACTGCCGCGGGACCCATGGCCTCAATAGCACTACCCAGGACATTATCCGCCTCCTTCTTTCCGTGGAACGACTCGTTGGTGCGGAGCTCACCGATCGTCTTGACAATGTCATCGAGGAAGGGGCTCGAGCGCCACTTGAAGCTGTCGAACATGGCCGCGCAAACATTGAACACTTCGGCCCAGGCGGCCTGATATTTCACAGAGAGAAGGTCCATAGCAGCCTTAGCCAGCTTCTCGAGTGTCTTCTCATCGTAGACCGAGGGCTCGATAATAACATTCTTAGGAATGCAGTTTGCAAGGAACGAGACCAAGCACTCTGATGCGGACACACGAATGTTGCGCGAGGGGGAGGCGAGATAGCCGGAGATCATGTTGAATAGGCCAGGGAGCTTCTCGAAGGTATCCTCGGGGCTGGTCTGAGCGGACACATCGTATCCGCGCGACAAGACGGCGATCCAGGGAGGGAGCAGCTGCGAGTCGTTCTGTGCGGGCTTGAGGTCGGTGATCGCCTCCAGCAGGCGAGGAAGCTTGGAGGACGAGAAGTCGTTGGCCATGCTGGAAAAGATGACCTCGAACACCTCGAAGGCGCCCATGGTGATATACTCGTTGGTAGACCGGGAGGCGTTCATCAGGAGCTCGCACAGCGGCTCAATCTTCTTGCTCGGCCAGCCGCCTGAAGCGACGGCAATCGTCTTGACGAGTTGCAGGGAGTGGATGACGAGAGGGTCGTGGTTGTCCCGGTTCTGGGGGTCGTTGCGACCACGCTTCGCCTTGGCGGCCGCCGCGATGCTATCACCCAGAGTGCGCATAGCAGTCTCCGCGCACATGTCGGCAGCCGGGTGGTCCAAAGAGGGGCTGGGGGGAGGGGTCTTGAGGACCTTGATCAAAGCATCCTGGGCACGTCTCCGGACCTTGGGGCGGTGATCAACCGACAAGCTCAGCAAGCCAGCCATGGCCCGACGGGGGCTGATTTGGGTGTGTGGGAGTTGCCAGGCCGCGACATCTTGGGCGACGAGGAGAGACTCGAGACAGCCGATCGACGGACGGAGGAGCGGGGCTTCGACTTCGGGCAGGGAGAGCGCCGGCGCGAGACTGGTCAGGATATGAGAGAATTTGGAGCGAAGGATCGGTGCAGGGACATATGTGGTGGTGATGTCGAGCAGATACACAACGGATGTAGCGAGGTCCTTGTTGACAATGCCTTGGGTAGCGGAGATCGACTGGCCAAGAAGCGCCAACAGCGCGGCGAAATAAGCTGTGGCAGAAAAATCGGCTTTCTGATCGCGGAGTGTGTCTTCAACTGCAGAGAGCACGACAGCCGTCTAGGAAGAATGGTCGTCCTGGTCAATAACGTTGTGTCGCGAGGAAGATTGGAGTAATTCCAGATCTTGAAGCCGAAGAGACGAGAATTTGACGGGGGGCCTTACATGTTGCTGGTTCTGCAGCTTGGGAGACTTGATCTTCTCCAGCTTCTCCGCCAGGGTCGCCATGATGAAACGATCGACCAACAGGCAGTTGAGAAGACGGTCAGAGGATCTGGGATGGATTGGGAGGAGGGGGAGGGTTTGAAAGAAGTCGGTGGATGCGGAGATTTTTTTTGTGGTCCGGCGGCGGGATCTTTTGGAATGGTGAAAAAAGGTACGGGCGGTTCTTGGCGCCGTTTATCGATAGAGCGCGATAACAGATTCGCAGCGGAGAAGAAAGAGACTGAATCACGACTGTGGTGGATTCCTCCTCGCTGTCTACTAGGTATCATATTCTAGTCGGTTCATTTGTGAACAATTGGCGCGAGTCCAGTCTTAGCCTACACGAGCAATATTCTCACTAGCCAGCGCCCCATTCCTTCTTTACACCTTGGGCAACTGAATGTAAAATGTCGGAAAGAGCAAAGAAAACCAGAATAGATAGAAGTTCTAATAAGACATGAAAATCGTCATAACATGACCATCATCCACACTAGCTGACCGGAACATCAGAGACGATAGCCTGTGCTCTCGTTCAGTCTTCACCACACACACACACACACACACACACACACACACACACACACACACACACACACACACACACACACACACACACACACACGCACGCACATATGGTTCACCTTCCAGCCAATTATCCGCGAACCCAGCACATCTCTCGCTCCCATGGAGAGATCGACGAGCTTTCACAGCCATTGGGAGAGTCGTCCGCCAGCCCTACACCTTCTACACAGCTATTCAAAATCGCCGCCCGGGTAAGGGATCAGCGGCAAGCGACCTGTCTCCCTGCAAACGGTCCCTGGAGGGCAGCTGGGGGTTGCAACCGGCACCCAAGCTCCCATATCCTGCCCCTCGGAATCCAACCTTATGTTTTGCTCTTATCTCTGTGACAAACAGCATGGCCGACGCAAGCCGCCGTGCAACGGAATGCGATGGAAATGGTGGGGTTCAGGGCAGTCTCTAGAATAAGATCTCCCCGCTGTGTTCTGGCTCGAATCCCAGGGTCTGTAACTTGCCGTGTCGCTTCTTGTCGTTGGATTTGCGCTTGATCTCCTCTTGCTTCTTCAATTCGAACACTTCCTGGAACGACGCTCGTTGGAGGTGAGGGGGCACATCGTCTTCTTTGTCGAGGTCCTGCGATGATAGAATCTCGGGTCAGTCACAAGCTCGTACACAAGATACAAAATATCAACCAGTCTAGCCATCCCCGAGCGAGTAGAGAAGAAGGCATACAATCTCTCCGAGAAGCAATACGTTCTCGCCACGGACAAGGAAGATGCCGCGCGGGATGTCGGCGTACAGATTCCCCGAGTAGAGGCGTTCGATGGTATCTTGGAGAACGAGGTTGGCTGCATAAGAGAGGCAATGAGATTGTCGTTCCCAAATCGCAAAGCAAGCAGAAGGCTCTCCAGAGAGTTGCCCGTGCTTTGCTCCAAAATGTGTGTGTGAAGGCATACCGAACTGATCCCAACTTCTCAGGACGCCAATCAACTTCCTTCCGTCACGCAAGACCAAAACAAGCTTCTCTGGCGTAAGTGTCAGCTTTCGTCCACCAAGATCCAAGCACTTCCCCCCCTAGCGGCGAGAGCCCGAGTCGCAGGCGGAATTCACGTACTGTCGGTCAAATCCAATAATTGAGCCGCTGTGGTGAACATCTGCGGCGGCAGCTGCGGGGGACCATGCGTCATGGGTCCGAGGGTGTTGTTGTTCTGGGGCGGGAATCCCTGCGGCGCATTGCCCTGAGGGCCACCGGCGGGGGGCTCGTTGATCGAGAGGCGTTCCATTGTCTTTTTCTGGATCTTCACACCGAGATGATGTGAGGGGAAAGTATTGGGTGGGAGTTTAATCAAGGCCGTGTCAATTGCGGGGGTTCGCTCAACTTCGGAGATGCGGGCGCAATCTAAATGGTCAATTCTATTTGCACAGACTCAGTAAGAAACGGCTATGAAGCTCTCATTCTGCGCTAGGAAGCAATCTCCAGCGCTGGGGCTTTTGAGGTGGGATGGAGAGCATACAGCACTGCATCGGCGAAGTTGTTGGTGCGAACGGAAGGAGGTGTTTGCTCTGTTTGTTCGGTGCAGTCGTCATTCTATCATGTGGAGTCTATCAAGACATGGTCGCTCGAATGTGAAGCTCAAAGATGGAGCTCGCGCTAGTTTATATACTCTGAAGAGCAGAGTTTATTTCTGGGCTCTATACTCATATACATTTACTCCACGTACTATATGTGGCGAGCCGTGACGTTGCAGGCTCTTTACGCTTGCATGCGATACACGCTACTTGATTGATCCTCGTGTCATAACACCGCTACGAACGGCCGGAATATACTTCTGCTGATGGAAAGCTCAATCTGTTTCAGCTGACAGCATGATAAATAGCCCGTCCTGAGAAAAAAACTCGGCGTGACCGAAGACCACCATACGCTGAAGACAAGACATAAGAGAACAGCTAAGAGAAACATCTACAAAAGCGCTCAAGGCAAGGCAGGGACCATTAAGCCTAGACAGAAACACTGAGTGCGAGGATATGAGAAAGGCTCGCCGGTCGCCTCCTCAACCCACTCGACACATCTAATAGAATTCAAACCACACTCACCCCTCGCCGCTGTCCGCGCATCCGCTCTTCTCGGCGCCGACTGTACGGCGCGCAATACGGCTCGTCGGACGAGCCGATATTTGCCCGGACCGATTCGTGCGACTGGTGGTACGCTGGACTCGACGGCGAAGGGGGCAATTGCATCGCCTTGAATTGGTCCACGCTGATGATCCGCTGCCCATAGAGGTACTGCATCAGCTCGAAGTCGGGCCGGCTGCCGGCGAGGGACTGGCCTTCTTGGTAGTGGACCGAGTCCACGTGGTCGAGCATAGCGTCCCAGGCCCCCAGATCGGCCGTGTCGTGGAATTTTGCCCCCTGTCCGGTGCACAGGGGGCAGCGGGCCGTCTTGGGCGGCGCATGGGTCCGGAAATGGCTCAGGACGTGAGTTCGCCAGTCGTGCGCATTGTCGAATGCGATGTGGCAGTCGAGGATGTGGAACAGGCAGAGGTAGGGATAGTGACGATCGTGACTGTCATCGCGAGCCGGAACGATGAGAGCCCCCGTTCCATCATCTACCAAGAGCGCATGGCCTGCAAGATTGGATGCCCACCGCGTGTCAAGGGACATGTCGGATGAGGATGCTGAGTGGGATGCGGTGTCGTTCAACAGGGACGGCACAGCCGACATGGTGTTCCAGTGTACGTCTCTTTCGTACGTCTGACTGCGATCTTCTGTGATGAAACTATACTCGGTGCACCGAAGCTCGATTTAGAAGAAGAGTATGTGGGTGGTCTGGCCGATAGGAAGCTCTTGGGCGGCCACCGAGGTGCGTTGGAAGCGCTCCCGAACGGAACGCTGGGGTTACGCTATCCTATTCTGCGAGCAGAGGGTGACAAGCAGTCTTGTTCTCGCCACATATTTATTAGCCTGGAGGTTGTGAGAAGAAAGCAAAGAGCTTGCAGTTTATTCGGTATGGGAGGGGGAGTGGGTTCGGTCATATAGTTGGCCGCCGCGCGGTCGCCCAAGGCGGGGTTACAAACAAAGTGAAGCGCCCACATTCAGGCTGGGAAGGAAAAGAAGAGAGAAGGAAGACAGCATTCATCTTTGGGCTTACCTTGAACACCGTGACAATCCCAAACTCCCTGTTACATCAACACCGACATTTTTCGTTGTAGTAGCCGCGGGAAATTGTCGCATGGTTCAACATGTTAGACCTTCTAGTTAGGAGCTTCGGTCTTTGTTCGGCAGGAAAAGCGGGGCGGGAAAGGCCTAAGTCAGTCAGTCAGCTAGTCAGTCAGTCCGCCGGGAATTAAGTGTAAGTAGTTCAGGTAGTAAATAGAGTATGTAGTTACCTAGTCGACGGCAAACAAGTCAATAGGTACAGTACATTGATTGTCAAGGTCTACTTGTAGTCAGAGAAGTACTATAGTACACTAGAGTACCTTCCCCTTCCTAGGGCCAAGTCACCCGGGCCCTGGGTAAGGTAAGCGCAGTGAGTGTGCTACATGAACCCAATGACACAAACATGCATTTTGCTTATTTAGTCTTGGTCATGGGAGCAGTGGGCTCCGGTGCATTCTCCTAAGATCCTGGTGAAGAAAGCTGGGATATCTTTGGCAAAGGAGAAAACATGAATTGCATCGGCAGCAGCAGCAGCAGCAGCAGCATCGTAATGATCTCTAGATGGCTCGGGCTTGAGAAGCGGCTTCTCTGGCCGACACTTTATTATATTAGACAAGAGGTTTGTTGTTTGTACACCTTACGATTATAAACATACTTTCATTAAGCCTTTTAGGGTATAGTTGGGACTCCACTGTATTAAGCCCGGACTGGAGGGCATAAATGCTTCCATATCTGGAAATCAATATAGGTCTTTGAGTTTACTACTTATGTTACCCTCACCACCTCCACTGCCCTTACCATCATATAGGCGTTGAAATTGCTACTTCTTAATTGTTCAGCGGTATGCAGTGCAGTCTGAAAAGCAGCAGCAGCAGGTGAATGAGATCAGTGACGACGGCATGCTGCCGTGTATCACGCCGCGAGTTCCGCAGGCAGAACTTCCCGAAAGTGATTGCGTTTCCTCATGAGCAGAGCCTTGAATGAAAATCCGGAGTGATTGGGTGACGGTAACGAAAGTACTAATATAACACGAGCCGAGGAAAGCTACCACAAAGCGGCAGTCACCATACCATACCATACTTCATGAAAGCGACCAGTCATCCACATTCGTCTTGCAGACTTCGCCCTCCCAACAAAAGGCAGTCCCGAGAGTTAGCACTCACCTCCCAAGCATCCAAGAATCTAGCAGCCATTGAATCTTCGATAGGGGTCCCCAGTATCGACCCAGACTTCGACAAGGTTTTAGTGACTATTCTGGCTGGCTAATTGGTTGGCTGTTCGATTGTCGGCATTCCTATATACAAACTTGGTTACATGAGTACACTTCCACGTCACCCCTCTCTTAAGAAGTCATGCTGGGCATCCAACGACCTCACATCAAAGCTCGCATACTACCCAGGCTTACTGTGAGCTTCACAAAAGATTGTCATCTATCCCAGCAGGTCCGATCGACACGTAACCGGCCGATTGACACAAGTAGTAGTCACTACTTTAATTACACCTCTGGTCGGTGGCTTATCAATGAGGCGCACCAACTCCAAACGCGCCATGTCAACTTCAACGTGCCAGCGCTACAGCGAATTGCCGGTCAACTGATGGAAAGCCGATATGTTCAAATGAACAAAATACCCGAGGGGCTTTTCAACAAGGTGTTTTCTTTGCAAATAGAGAATGGAAAGAAGATTTTGGCGAGACTTCCGAACCCGAACGCCGGCCATGCCCATTATGTCGTGGCCAGTAAAGTCGCCACACTTGACTTTGTACGTTGGTGCCAATCCTCCGGTCCCTTGTCGCCGCAATATTTTCCTGATATACAAGAAACCACATTGAAAGCTCCGAACCGTTCTCAAGATACCGGTCCCCCGTGTTATCTCGTGCAGCTCTTCCCCGGAGGTGAACCCCGTCGGTGCTGAATACATCCTAATGGAGAGGGTGGAAGACCAGCAACTAAGCGATGTTTGGGATGATATATCCGAAGCTCAACGCTTCGGACTTGTAAAGAGCTTAGTAGAAATCGAAAGAAAGTTGATAAACGCAAAATTCACCTTGCATGGCAGCCTGTACTACCGAGATACATTTCCACGGGGAAGAGGCATTGCTGCCCTGGAAATAGCAGACTAAGAGGGCCCATCCAAATTCGTTAAGGGTCCGACCACGCAGCGGTCCTTCTGGGGAGACCAGGAGCGCGGATTGGAGATGGACAAGGGTCCGTGTGAGTATTAATCGTTGTCAATCTCTATCCCAGGGAAAGAAATCGAGCACTGAAACTGGGGAAATCAGAGGAAACGGCCCAGAAGTATTTCGCCGCTATCGCAAAGCGGGAGATATCACGCATACAGACTGCACACGGCAGATCCAGCAGTGTCACTGCACCTGTGGGCAACACGCGACGAAGGCGTGATGCTCACATCCAGCTCCTTGAGCAATATCTAACCGTGCTGCCCTACATCCTACCACGCGAAGAGATCCTTACGCCGGTCCTTTTACACTCGGACCTCCATCACCATAATATCTTCGTCGATCCGTCCAATCCCACTAAAATCTCCAGCATAATCGACTGGCAAACCGTCCACACCGCCCCATTATTCATGCAAGCGAGGTTCCCTTCGATCTTCAACTGCGACGACATATACCCATGGGGAGCAGTTCAACCCAAGCTACCCGAGGATTTCGAAACCCTCTCGGCGGCCGAAAAACGACAAGCGGAAGATCAGCTTGACCGGCTCCGATTGAAAAAGTTCTACGAGCTGGCGTCACGGAAGTTCAACCCGGCGCTTATCGATGCGATGGACAAGATGCGAGATGATAGTGACCCGACCACTTTCCTATTTCATATTGTCGAACGGTCTTCCGAGGACGGGCCAATGCCATTGAAGGAACTGTTGATCCAGGTGTTTGAGCAATGGGCCCGCATTATGGAACGGCGAGGCTCCACCGAACCGTGCCCCATCTCGTTCTCGAGGACCGAGATCGAAGAGAGTCGGCAGCAGGTCGGAGCCTGGGCAGCCGCGTTCGGGGAATATGATGGTCTGCGGGCGGAACTGCTCGGTGACGAGGGCTGGGTCTCCCATGATGACTACGAGGAAGCGAGGAGCAGGTGGGAGAAGAACAAGGCGACTCTGGAGAGCTTACGGGAACGATTGGAGACCTTGCTCTGATATCTGCCCCGGACAATCGGAGTAGATCCAACAGAGAGATCGAGTGAAATGCATTTCAGGGTAAACCCAAGCCATCAAACTCGCATATCAAGCTTGACCGTGAACTAGTCCGGATACATACATCACGCATGTACAATCATCTTTCTTTTCTTCTACGATTTATCAAGATTTCCAGGCCAGGATAGACCCTATAAACCAGAGCAATACTTCTTCAGCCTTATCCAACCCAACCTTGCAGTCTACTACTCTGTCAAAAGCAGTCCTCGACTTGAAATTCCGCAAAGGAGCAGTACCAGAATTGGATAAGCAGGTTTACAGTAACCTAGCAGTACATGTGAGCTTCCCGCAACGTTCATATGAACCGAACCCCCCGCCCAACTCTACGTGACTCTTAAGTAAAAACAATGATCTATGAAACCCTACCAATTTGACCATCTCCTACTGTGGACATCTCATCATCCTCGAAAGATCAGATCTCCCCGACGGAGAACCAATAATAATAGAAAAAATAATAGTAAGTATTCCCGAATCAAAGGCCCCAATGTATGATGATGGACCCTTCAAATCTCAATCTTTCAAAGCAAAAAAATAGTAGCTATCAGGTAGTAAGGTGTAAGATCCACTAAAAAGACAAAAAAAAACAAAGGTAGTATAGGATAGATCCCATCTCGAGTATAAGTAACCGAATCAACTCACTCTCACTTCCGAAATGACATAATCAGACTGCGTCCCAATCGAATTTTTGTACCGCAAGACCGAGATAACTACGGTAACGAGGTCGGCTGAGCTGCTTCCTGTAGGTTCGTTGACTTATACCCTAAGTAAGGTAGAGTACAGCACCCGTGACCTAGTCCTTGATTATCCGTTTCCAAGAGCCAATCCCAGGCCGAGCGCATATCTTTAGGCGCCCTTGCTACTAAAATCATTAGGTCACCCACTAAGTTACTACTAGTAGCCTTCAGGTACACCTCCTTGATTGACTTGCCAATCCGGATCACGCGATCGCGGCCTCCCCATGGCCAACTGGCACGGGCCAGACCTTTCCAGGCTATCGTCTCAGTGCCAGAACCGGTTACGCAAGTGTTACGAAGCCTACAGAAATACAAGGAACTGTACTAAAGGATACTAAAGTGGGCCCATGATATGTATTGTTTCCAATCAAGGTTGATGTATATTGTTGTAATTCCTCTCGTCCTGCTCGAGGTGGTCTATAGCGAAAATAGCGAAGAATGAAAGAACAAAAGTCAGGTCTATCAATGTAACCCAGAATGGAAAGAAGGAGAACAATCGGAAGCAAGAATGGTAGTCGGTATTTTTCATCCTCGTGGCTACAAGGACCACGAAAGCTGAGCAGCGAACCCCGCTGCTCAGGTTTGGAGATAGGAGATAGGAGATGTTCCGAGAGGAGAAGGGGGAATGTGATCAGGAGATCAGACACTGAAGTGAGAATCAGAAGGGACAGAAACAATTCACAAGATATCCCATCCATCTATTGGTAGTGACGCCTCGCAAAAGAGTACAAAGAAGTGTATAAAAGCCATGAGTCCAGAGCAATGTAAAGATAATAAAGAAAAAACCACCCAACCCACTGACACCGATGATGCCCATGAACCATTGTAAATGCACAAGTCTATTCGGTCGTAGCACGCATGAAAATATAATGCTTTTTTGTCGGAATCGAAGTTTACAAACCCAAATGTATCGGCACGGGGGTCGATCTAAAAGGCACGATCGGCCAGATCGCCGCCCGCGACTGAGTTGGCGGTGGACGAGGTGACTGAGGAAAACCCACTGCCAGGATTCAACATATCCTGGACTGCCACTTTCGGTACCTGAGGAACAGGTAGCTTGCGCTGTGTGCCATCGGGTTTGGACATGATATCGGTGATGCTCGGACCATGACTCTGACTGGGGCTGTAGTAACTGGGACCCTCCGGTTGTGGCTCCATGGGAGCCAGGGCGGGGGTGTGGTGAAGCGACAAATGACGAATCGAGGGAAGGTGTAGATCGCTCGATCCCAGAGGTCTCAGCCGCGGAGAGTGGGCGGGGGTAGCCAAAGGCGTGTGGTCAGGAGTAGGTGAAAGGGAGTCATGCGAGAAGGTGGGCGAGGATGGAGCGGTCGAGTTGGGCGAATTGGGCCTGGAACGCTTCACACGATGGGAATAACTATCGTCTTCTTCATGCGAGTGCGACCGGCTCATGTTATGCGTGATCGCGTAAGCCGAGAGAGAAGGCAAACGACCGCTGCCGTGGTGACGGGAGCTGCTGAACAAGTGGTGATTGCGAGGGCCGGCATGGAAGCTGAAGTGGTCGTCGCGCTCCACCTGCGAGGCAGCGGTGGCAAGGAGATTGATGTCCATGCCAGAAGATGCCCGCTCGGTATTGCGGGCGTAAGGCCCCAAGTTGGAGCGCATGTGGTTGGCATAGTTGGAGAAAGAGTGGGGAGGGGAAATGTCGGGAGAGCCAACTTGCGAGACAGGCGCAGAGCGAGTCATCGGCTTGCTGGGAGGGGGCATCAGGGCCCCTGCATTGTTGGGCATCGCATTCTCCTGACCAGCTGCGGCCGCGGCAGCCGCAGCGAGATGCTGAGCCTTGTTGCTGCGCCTCGAGTTGGGGTTGTTGTGAATTCGCGAGTGGCGAGTCAGTTCGTCAGAGCGACTGAATCGCTTGGTGCAGCCGGGGAACTGGCACGCGTGGGGCTTCTCGCCCGTGTGGGTGCGGATATGTCTCGTTTGGTGCTCCAGGCGGTGGAAGGCACGATCACACAGCGGGCACTTGTACGGCCGAGGAAGATCTTGGCGCACTTCTTCGGTCGCAGGACGGCTACCCTTCATCAAAGGAGGGAGAAGACTGACGGACGAAGCCATAGTGGAAGTGGATTGAGCGCTGGACGGAGTAGAAGGACCCTTCGAGCTATCCACAGGGGTGGCAGGTGATGACGGAGTAGACTCAGTCGAATTGCTCTGAGGATTCAGCAGATTGGAGAAATCCACTGAAGAGGCCGGTGGCGGCATGTGAACTTTCTCTTAAGACGGGGAGAGAGAAGGTAGTGTAGTGAGAGGTAGGACAGAGCCGGAATGTGAAAACCCGTTCGGAAGGGATGAGCAGCCGAGGCGATAGGCCGTGTGTCGCGACCAGGGGGAGGGGGGAGGAACAAGGAGCTTATATCGGCAAGTCGATCACCACCCGCTAGTATAAACCACCCAGGCCTAGCGTTGCCAAGAAAAGGTCGAGCAGTGGATGTCGCAAGGAATGATACAGTCCTTGTGACGCGACTGGGCTTAAAGTAGGTACGATCTTGATAAGCGTTGGCTAACCCGACTCAAGACACTTCTGGACAATGTAATCGGATTTTTAGACGGGAATGCGGAATGTGGTGGGCGAGGAGGAGGAGGATGATAGGTGATGATGATAATGTGGTGGCAGGCCGGAATCGGAAATGAACCCCGGTGCTGAATGGCGAGCCGAGAAAGGCGAATGTTGGAATTGATGAGTCTCGAAGAGGAGGGGAAAGAGACAGAAATCTGGAGAAAGGGATCTGGGGAGGAGGTGATATAAGAAAGGAAAATCGGAAGAGTGAGAAGGAGGAATGGAGGGGAAGAAGAAAGAAACGGAGCTCGGGGGAGGGGAGGAGGGAAGGGAGAGTCGTAGAGGGGTGGGTTTATCGGAATCGGAGGACAAGAAGGGGAAGAATAGGTAAGAGTGAAAAAAAGGGCAAAGAAAAAAAAAAGGTAAAAAAAAAAAAAAAAGAGTGAAAAAAATGTACATTGTGTGGGGATAAATATCGGGGGGGCAAAAAGCAGGCTCTGGAGACTAGTTGAATGAAAAGGGAAATAAGAACGTGCTTTCCGGCCAAACCTGATCGGCTGCTGTCCTTAAAGAGGATTCAACCGGTCACTCTTACCAGCCTGATGGGACACCTGTTTTTACATATACCTTCCAATGTTTCTTTTTTACGGAGTACATATCGGACGAATAGAATTTCAATACGATGGTCCTTGATCTGACTTTAATGTGTCTCAATGCCATGAATAGGCTGTGTTTCTTATTGTTGTAGTTATGGTTTATAAGTAAGCAATTGACATTCAACTCTTCAATACGTTGCCTATCTCGGGTCTCTTCCGTCGCCTGATTTTCGGACCACGCACGGTGTGTGAGAGAAGAAAAAAAATCCACTATGACCAACCGGGAAGGGAGACGCTCAGAACAGGTGAGGGTAACGAAAAGAGTAAGAAAGGAGGAGAGAGAGAAAAAAAAGCAGAGAGAGAAAAGAAAAAGAATGTGGGGCTAAACTAGAGTCGATAGAGATTACGGAGTAGAAACTGGAACTGCAGAAGTGGCTGTGTGGCCTGGAGAAGTGCGTGCCCGGTATTATCGGGTGTTGGACCGTTGGTATGGAGTAAGTTCCAGTAGGTAAGTAAGGTAAAGTAAAGCAAAGCAAAGCAAAGCAATGCTCAGCTCAGCTCAGCTTCGTATGATAAATGTAGAAGGTGAACTGAACCTCCAGGCTCTCAGTCTTCCACCCCTTTTCATATACAGTCATAAACCGGCTATCGCGGATGCCCTCTGGGAGGAAATGAACGAGTGTAATGTATGATAAGATATCATTGTTGTTGGTAAAGCCCCCCCCGCCCCTTCTTCCACCACCACCACCACCATCATCATCCTTTCCCCTCCCTCACAATTCTCGCTCTCCACCATCCGGGGCAAAAGGATCTGGTGGTGATCAAAGGGAGCTCGATTACGTGATTGTGTTCCGCAAATCGGATAATGCACACACACATGGATACCTGAGCTCTTCAGCCAACCTTTCTTTTCCCATGTGATAGCTACACACTATTGACTTGAAAAGGTGGGTGCGCCCCCTATCTCGCCCACCATGAACATGATTAGACTTCTGGGAGGGTAAGATGCTGTATTGGAACTCAACCAGCTCTCTCTGCGTGATACGGTCAGATGGTGGGGGAATGGGGGGTTGAGTAAAGGTAGAATATCCCCAATCAACCACCCCCCAATGCTGTCCCTCCCCCCCAAACTCGCCGCCCCCGTCCCCATCAAATCCTCCCTCCGTCCATCTTCCCCAAGGGTCCCTTCCCCATATGATGCCATCCTGTTGTGATGAGATGAGAGTCGATGATGAAAAGATGAGGTGATTGGCGCTACGAAGGGGGATCATCCAGTATTTCTTTTCCTAGGGAGGGTTTGTTATTTGTCGAATACAGTATTTCTTTTTTTGGGTTTTCTTTTGGCAAACCCTTTCCAGTTCCCTTAACTAGGAAGTCCGGGGCATACCCGGGGGAGACCAACAAGAAGAAAAAAAGAAAAAAGAAAGAGAAAAAGAATTGTTCGACAGATCTTCAGAACCGCCCAGTCCAGACCAGCTGATCGACCGACATTCAGGCGAGGGTTGGTTAACTGAGAATCTTAAGATAAGTCCATAGGCAAGCTGAGGAGACGGTCTGGGGTTCGAATGTAAGGTTTCCCAATGACATCTCTCCGTGACGGAAGCGGTGATCATGCCAAAAGGGCTGGGTAGGGCAGAAGCGGGACGCGGAGTCAACAAGTCATACGATGGGCGAGATCCAGTACATCATCATTGTCCTCATCCTCATCGGTGAGGGCGGGGGAGGGAAGGCGCCCCAGAGGGGGGAGGTTTTTCGATGAGGCTGTTGGATTGTTGGCGACGGCAGCCACAGGGCGAATTGGAAGGGCGACGAAAAAGAGCCGGGATGACATGCCATGCGGGTAAATGGCGAACGAGCGGCCATCCGTCGGCATTTCCTTATTATTGTGGGGGAAGAAGAAAAAATAAAGCCAGCATTGCATCAGACATCAACCATGGATGGCTCATCAGCCCTTCCTTTCCTTTCCCCATGAGTCAGAACAGCGGACGAGGCGACACAATACAACCCCACAAATTCAGCTGCCTCCGGATATTACTCATATTAACGGGTGTTGATTCGAGTAGAGTACGGGGAAGGCTACATTCTCTTCTTTTTTTTTACCCTTTCCTTCTCAGCGCTCTTAGTGCTGAAGGCGCCTAGAACTAGGCAGGTAGGCAGGCAGGCATGAATGATGGCTGCGACGTGGGTGATGCGCAGCGAAGGTATGCGCTAAATCATGTGGTCGACGAGAATCGCAATCGCAATCGCACATCATATCTATGCAAGATAGGGGCGGTCATCTTTGGAGTAGGATACACTAATTATGATATCCTTTAATTACCCGATTGTCAAGCTTCGCAGGTGCGATTAACCCGTTTGTGACGCGCACTCACCCCCCCCCCCCATGTAGCCCGGAATCGAGGCCTCTCACAACCCCCTGGCCTAGCGCTTACTATTCCCACCGCATCGGAGGGGACCCTGCATTGTTTCATCGGTGCCAGGCGTCTACAGGAGATTTTCCGCTGGTGATATTGACAGGGGGGAAAGGGTGATTACTCAGTACCTCAAGACAGAAAGACGAGGAGTAATCCTCAGGAGGGGCCGAAAGACGACTAAATGTTGATCCAACGCAAACTAGAATCAAGTCCGGAAATTGAACTCCGCAATAGATTATCCCCAGGTCCCAGACCACTTCTAATCTCCCTAAAGCTCTGCCACCGCCGTGGACGGAGTGAATTTCCCCGGACGGGCGAACGAGGGATGTTTAGTTAGGGGAGGGGGGGGGAGCCTGAGGAGGTTCATCCGACAAGGGAAATCCCCGTGCGGGAACTCTGCTTGCTGATATGAGGAGGGGACAGAACCGGGCGTATAATGAACCCGCCACCAATCCGACTTGACTAATGATATTGTCTGATTGTCGCATGATACTCTTAAGCGACTGAAGGAATAGTAATGAGACTATGGAGGAGGAGGACCCGAAGCCCAAGCGTCATCCGGGATAAAGTAAGATACGGGTTTTCGGCAACTCCAGCCAGCCATTAGACAATCCGCGAACCACTGGTGTACGGTGCATTCTCTGCTCAATGCCCGGGTGGTGGTAAAAGCAATCACATGTCACTAGACGATGATGGATCTTATCTTCATGCTTCTCGACGCAATCGCCGGCTGATAGTTTCCGCTCTCTCACACCAGGGTATGGTTCTTGGTATGTAAGGGGCAATGGGCCGCTGGGGTTAGTATTTGAGAGAAGAATGTGGGTACTCACGTACTTCTCTCGAGAATATACTTGTACTAGTTATGATCTATGACGAAAGGACAGGTTGAAGGACCGAAGAGTCAAAAGCGAGTATGCTCAGGGCAAGGGCAAAAACATTAAAATTCGTAATTAGGATGAATATCCGGGAAATCGGAACACATCCATGCACCAAGCCGTCTGGGCAGTTCTGTAGATCGCAGATAGCCCCAACCCCGAGGGCTCTGGGGAGGGAGGAGGAGAAGGGGGGTGCAACCTCAATTTGGTCCACTAGAATGGATATCACAGTCACATTGCCACAGGAGAACGTGAGACTGAAAACGCCTGTCCATTGACCTTTTGACGATAAAACAATACCAGATGCACTGGATGTAATTCATCGACCGCATAGTAGATTGTCTTAACGCCGATGTGAGCTTATCGCAGGGATCGCAGGACCGATGATACGTAGGGCAAGGGCAAGGGCAAGGAGGTGGTCGGTAGAGCCGACGGAGAAAAGCTCCCCGCGGTTGATATCGTGGCCGTGGCGGTTCCCCTGGGTCTGATAGGATAAACTCGGCTGTCTGGGCTGTGATCTGGAACCCACCCCCACGACCCCGCCTGACCTGAAGGTTTACCCGCCTAGAGAGGAAGGAATGGCGACCCGGAAGAATTATGAGTGCCATTTGGGAAAGGTCAATACCTAGCCTGTCTATGAGTTATTGTTTACTAGATAATGAGATCTGTGAGATAAGGCAGGCAAAAGTACGGAGGTATTGCCCCTACGGGGACGTCTAGGATATCGAACACGGGGTCACAGGGCTATCGATTTGTAGGGCCTAGAGCAATGCTCAATGATCATCTGCTCGACCTTATCTGGCAGAATATCTTGCTTCTTTCATGCTCTGCGTCCAGAGGAGGGGAAGAGAGGAAGGGGGGAGGAAGGAATGAGGTGAGAATGAGATCAGCTGCAAAATCCCAGCTGAACGCCTTCTCATCCTTCTCATGGCTGAAATAGCTGATGCCGGGCCGACTGCCGGCGCTTTGCCGGCCAGCAGGACGGACGGCACCAAGTAGGGTAAAGCATGCACTGCGTGGGCTCAAGGCTCCAGACTCCCCCGGTGAGTCTGCGATAACCAGCAAAAAGCGAAACCCCACCCCCATTGATTATTCTCCAGGCTCCAGCTTTGGGTTGGTGGAACAAATGGGGGAGCAGAACTGGGGGATGGTACGCAGGTACGGCACCAAGACTACGTAAGTTGCCCCCTCAAGCTAGTCGCCGACTTGCTTAAGCTACATATTACCTAGTCAATCACACAATCAATAGTTAATTGTTCCAATACTACCTCATATTGTCATTTATCGTCGCCATCGTGCTAATGAGTATTCCCGCATTTTGCCGAACGGTCATCGGCGGAATAAAATTTCTTCATCACGAATTGGCCGATAGAGTCGAATAATTCGATTAGGAAAATACTCGAGCAGCAAAGGCCGTGTGTTATTTTGTTACGTTCAACAACATTACATGACTAATGCTGATTTTCCTATCAACATAATGATCTTCAACCCTATGAAGTAGGCGCTCTGAGATGGCGAACGGTTAGTTTTCCCCACAGAGATCTCTAACTCCACCTAAATCTAAGCAACTATACATAATTATTCAAAGAAAAGGGGGGGAACGGAAACGAGGGAAAAAGCAAAAGCAAGAAAAAAAAAAGAATGAAAGATCAGGCGTCGTTGACCCCATGATCTTTGTTGCGCCCGGCACCAGCACATCCCCAAAATGACGGAAGATCTTCCCCGCGATGATCGCGGGATATGATCTACACTCGCATTCGGTAGGTCCTCTATCCGGAATTGGTCATCCATCTGCTCTGCACTGCCTAGTAGAGTAAACTCTGCTCGAAGGACCCGATGTCGCATGAATTCGATGGAGTCAAAGAGTGGAAGCATTCTAGCGCAGAACAGTAGTCAATTAGTTGCAGATAAACCCTGGCCGGCACCATGGCTGAAAAGTACCTATGCAGAAGCACGCCTCGTTTCTGTCGCAAAGTGAAAAGGAGAGGATTGGCGCGTCGCGACTCGCTAGAATGGGTGTGCTGTTGTCATACAATCGCTACGGTAACTAGTAACGGCAACCGCCTTTGCAGGCTGGACAAGGGACGTGGGCAATGTGTTGTATTCTCATGAACCGCTCGACGATCATTACCATGCTCAGTCGGGGAGGTTGTTCATTCATGCTCCATTCTCATTCCCACGACAATGTCTGGCCATCAGCAACTCCATCTTCGATTCTATGCATGCATCCACACATTGGGAGAAACTCGAGTTCCAGTCTGGCATCCCAAGCTAGCATGGACAAATTCCGCGCAAGGAGACGAGATGTGCACGATAAGTTAGTATACGTACGCTGCCAAGGCCATCTCTTCAAAGGAAACGGCGGCAAGACCCTCAATCATGCACTAATCACATCGGCAAAAACGAGATAATCCTGAGTCATCTATAGGACGACTGTAGCACAGCTGGATGCTCACTACGGGCCAATCGACAAGCATATCGTGCATAGCGCCTGCAACCAGGGACTCTCTAACTAGCCGCGCTGTCGCTTTTCGTGTTGCCTGATGCCTCTCGGTGTGGGGTTAATTATCATTTTGTATGGTGTCAGACCATTGCGCCAACGCACATGCATGCTCTTATCGTGTTTCAGCCAGTAAAAATAATTATCCACCTCTTCAATCGGGGTCTGAAAAGTCAAGCAAGCTGCACTCAATCTAGTGGTGTCGCTTTGCCCTTTTACACATCCAGCCATAGCCTATTAAATCCGGGTATGGGAGCAAATACGACTGGGAGGTACGAAGTAGAGAATGACAATCTGCATAGACCGCAGAAAGACAATTGTGCAGAATGCATTGGCTACCCCGAGGAAAAGACAGACGATTCGAGACTCTCAGGCTGCATAGCCCTCCTTGGTCTCTGCCTTGCGGTAGGTGTTTCACATGTGGAACCCCGTGCTACCTTCAAGGACAGCTGAGACCCAACCACGGCACGCTCTCACTCATTGTATCTCAACTAGCTCGACGGCAATATCAACATGAATGATTGATATGAGTCTGCAGTACTCCGTACTGCAACAAATGAAGAAGACTTTTACACAAGCCATGTAAATGAGATTGTCTGATTCGCCACGACCAACACGGAAGCGCCTTATCTGGTTCAAAGCAAGCTAAGTACTCATCAGACTACTTCCGGATTTATTGATCAAAGATGATGACGTGCCAGAGGCAAAAATTATGTTATCAACATGACCGAAACAGCCTGAATCTGTTGATCCGGGGAAGTGTGAACGATACATCCGAGTGCCTGCCCACTGCGTGTGGTGTCCTGCCGCCGAGCCGATTACTCAGTCTTTCAACAAGGCTAACTGAGGATGGAGGTGCTGGAGTACAGTAAGTATGGTTGGATTGCAGTTCTCAGGGAGGGCAGTAGGTCACCCGAGATTGTCCCGGTGCGCTCGTTGTATTCTTGAAATGACCATTTCTCTTACGCAAGAGAATTTTGTTGGATAACATCTTGTTCACTGCTATCTTCTGGACGATCCTGTCCGAAGGCGACCCCAAGCGCTTGGCAGCAATATGCGGGGATGAAACCTGGGGAATCTCCAGAGAACTCCGTGTAGAGTTACATGTTACGGAAATATTGACCTATCAGGCCTGCCATCGAAGACACGATTCTGGGCAGTGCAGAGGAGTGAGCACCGCTCATGACCATCTACCAGTAATGCGCAACGACGGCTTATCAGTTGAATTCAACAGCAGACTCATCCGGTGCAACAAGGGGAGGTGAAGGAGAGGGTTGCCTGCGGTCAGATTCCACCCTCAGACGCGCACACCGCATGCCTGGTATGTATTTTACAGCAGCTCGGGTACGGCTGTGACCGATTGCGGACGCGCACAAATGCCACGTCCTGGTAAGTAGCTAGAAACACGCACCCCCCAAGCGCCTCCGCAAGGCGCGATCCGAAGATCCACATGCTTCTGGAACGGAGCGTTTCGCCCAATCACTGTGGAGAAACGGTATCACGGTGATGTCGTCGATTCACAGGCGTCACAGCCGCTGCCCCCAGGTTATGCGGGGCCGCGCTTCCGGAATCCGGACGCATTCATATTTAGTACGGAGCACAGAGTACAGTGCCTGTCTGCTGTACTGCCCGGAGACAGGTAGTCAGGCAGGTACTGTACTGCGTGGCTGTCTCAGAATCTCCGTCAGAGGTCAGGCAGTCTGGTTAGAAATGTGTTCGAAGAGCAGGCTGATCTCATTCATTGGTCAACTCGTCGAGGCTCCTTTTATCAGGCACCAGATACCATCATCTACGCCTATTCACAGACCTCTCCTCAGCCCTTCCAATGAAGAGAGAGAGCGCAGCCTGGGGCGGGCTTTGGGCGATCTGAAAAGGCACAGCGCCTCCTCACATCATTTGTTTTGCCTTTTGCCTACAATTGTATCGTGGTCACGGTGGAAACGATAGCCCCGAGGTTTCCCCCTTCTGCCCACCCCCGGATACCTCACTCTCTGACTCTTCGGTCGCACCATTTGACTTCTTCTCTCAGACCTGTCTCGGGGAATTGTGGCGGTCAATAGAGGCAAGTTCCCCACAACGTGTAACTACTCCATCGCATTGCCCGGTTAGTTGGTAGTAATCAGTCTTGGTCACATCTGGGGGACTCTATGGAGGGCGCAGGGCAAAAACGGTCGTCATCTTGAGCGATGACACGTCGCCCGAAAGGGGGGGGGCGGAAGGTCCGGGTGAAGCTAGGGGGCCATTTTTAGATGTCACTTTATTCCAACAGGTATCTTGCAACTACCTGACTGGATCTAGGTACGTGGGTGCAGTACTACATACTGTGTAGGTAAAGTCGGTGTCTGATGATTTTACCCCGTATCTAAATTTATATAAGTCAAAGTCGGTAACATGAAGTGTGGACCCTTACTCTCTTGATGACTTACTACTGGTACGTATAGTTCAGGAGGATCGACTCGGCGAGGGTGGAGGACGTGGTCTTGTGCAATTCCTCATTCCAGCCAGACTAAGGGCTTTAGTACCTCCGTAGTGTGCTGTCTACCTGCCTTAGTGAGGTACTAGTGCACTGTGAGCGAAGCTTGAAGCAGGAGAATCAGAGATAAGGCCCTTGTCGTGCCATTTCTTCAGTCCAGCATACACGTTCAGGCTTCTTTTTTTTCTTTGATCTGAGAAGATCATGCTATTGTTTATGCATCTCAAACACACCCAAATCTCCCCCCCCCTAAACAAACTTCCGCAGGAGAGTCTACTCGTTCTGTAGATATGTGCACATGCTACGGAATTATCTAGACAGTCATCTCGTCAGTTGAGCTTGCGCGTGCCCCTCTTTCATTTTGCAAAAGCTCCTCTTATCCGCCCCGTTTCGTCCTACTTGTTACCCCTTTCCCCTCCATCCCCCCTCCCCCCTCCCCCTCCCTCCGCTCCTAGTCATAGCTCCTTTGGAGCTATGAGGTTTTTTTTGTTGCTATTTGTCTCTCCGGAATCCCGGTCTAGTCTAGTCTAGTCTGCAAAGGTAAGTGATGACCGCTCTAGATCCCCAACTTTCTAGGGTTATGTCACGTCACTATGTACATAAGAACACTCTACGCGGTGCGTATCGGGGATAATTGAGAATCGGACCATAAAAAAACATCCCACTCGGCCCCCCGGCCCCCGCTCCCCCCCTGTTTGAGAATTGAACATACGCAGCATATTGCCTTATACTCTTTGTACAGTGCCACTCTACGATACAGGAAAATAGTGCAGTACCTGAACAGGGGAAGGGCAGAGGGGGTGGGGGCCGGAGAAAGGTGTGGGCGTTGTTGATCCGTGTACGCCGTCGTACTCGGAGTGTATAGTACAGTACAACAACCCCTTCAAGCTGAGCTGCAGGTGTAATCCGATCATCAACACCACCACCACCGCAGCAGCAGCAGCAGCACCGCCGCCGCCCTTCCCGGCGCTTGTCCTCTTCCAGACCACCCCAGTGGAAGTGATTTCTTAAGAAAGCTGTAACCATTAAAAGGCAGCTAGTAGTAAGTCACCACAGGAAAAGTTATACAACAAGGAATTAAGTGGGCTGTCATGCAGCCCAACCAAGAACACCTTGTCTTTGTACAAGTACATAGTAGATGAGATAATTCAGGTACAGTTCACTACCAAGAAAACACCAACACGAAAAAAAAAGCATTCCCAAGGGG